GTGCTGGTTGGTGTTTGGGAAAGCTTTCCATCTACCGGTTGAGTTAGAGCACAAGTCTATGTGGGCTTTGAGAAAGTTAAATCTTGAATGGGATATTGCAGCAAATCTCCGGGTGGAGCAACTCAATGAGCTTGATGAGTTCCGGTTTCATGCTTATTCCAGCTCGTCCTTATATAAGGACAAGATGAAGTACCTACATGACAAGTATGCCCGTAGCAAGGAATTCAAGGAAGGTGACTTGGTTCTCTTATTCAACTCCCACTGACGACTGTTTCCGGGAAACTCAAGTTAAAATGGAGTGGACCTTTTGAGGTGGTGCTTGTAACTCCGTTTGGTACTCTTGATTTGAAAAATAAAAATGGTGAAATCTTCAGAGTTAATGGGCACAGAGTGAAGCATTATCTTGGAAAGTTTGATAACAGTCACGTGGTGGCAATGATCTATCTCAAATGATTAATGGTAACCTGCGTTGTGCCGCGACGTTAAATCAGGCGCTTCTTGGGAGGCAACCCATGTGTTTTTCTTCTTTATGATTTTCTTCTTAGTGTAGGCTTTGTTTTGAACTAACTGGTTGTGAGATGTATGTAGGAATATTTGATTCAATGTAGGACTAACCTGGAAAAGTTATGCAACAGTCTGAAGTTACACCGCTGACAGTGCTCTATTTTCCGCTGTCAGCAGTGGCCTTATCGCGGAGGCATAAATTGGCGGTGGATGCGGGACTGAAAATTCCAAAATGAGACCTCTTTGAAGTTTCAACCACGTCCGTGGTGCTTTCTTTGCGGTCAGCAGTGCCTAACCGCGGCAGCGTATCATTTACTGCTCTCAGCGGTAGTTTAACTCAAGCAGGTCTTCTGTTCTTCACAAGCGCGAACCATAGTGATTTACCGCGATCGCGTCGGGTAAGTATGGTGGGTCCCAGGGTATTTCTATAAATAGGAGTTCAGGAAGCCTTTTAACCTTTTCGCTCATTTGACTCTCATAGTAAAATTATCATTGTTCATCCACACCTTAATCTGCAAAACACAAAATTAGAGTCCATTTTCATCGCACATTACACATCTGGTGATTTCACTCCTTCATTATTCTTTAATTTTGTATTTGTTTTTCTTTTAGTTAGTAGTTTTTACTTCTTCTTCTTCTTCTCTTTTAAATTTTGACCTAGGGTTCATTAATATTTATTAAATTAGGCTTAAACTAGTTAGGACTTATTAATTAATAGCTACTTAGGGTTAACAATGTAGATGATCTTGCTAAATGCATGAAAAATTTGAAACCCTAGGTTGACTCAGGCCGTTTTTGAATTCTGCCGCCGCGATTATTTTTTTGCGGTTAGCGGTGCTTAGGTTCAGAGAACATAACATGGGTCCGCGGCCGCGATTGATTTTTTACAAACACCGGTGCACTTCCGCGGCCGTGCCCAATTTTTTGTGCCCAGTGGTAACATAGAATCAGAGGGTGGGTAGTCTGATCCCCACACCTCCGCGGTCCGCACTGCGTTTTTCGGGGTCAGTGGTGCTCATTCCGCTGCCGCGCTCCTTTTTCCACTATCAGCGGTCTGTAATTTTTTTCAAGAACTGTCAACTGTTCTTCTACTTTTCTTCACTGCTTTTTCTAACACCAGTACTAATAATTTTCCGCTGATTATATTTGCAGATAATGGTTAAATCTAGAGGTGGCGGTGAGAAACAAAAGGGGAAAGGAGAGTCCTCCCGGCGTAGGGGACGAGGATAAATTAAGTTAACCCCAACAGTACAAAAATCAATTGGGCAAATGAGGAAAAATATCAAAGCTACAAACAGAGTTGCATCCCACTCCGAGGGGAGTGAGTATGTTCCCTCCCAAGAGGCCTTAGAGAGTAGCTTTGTACCGATACATGTACCAGACTTCCCGGAGAGACTTAGATTGACAGACGAGCCTACACCCCCATCCTCTCCTACTACTCATGTTTCTGTTTATGTTTCTTCTGAGTCATCTGATGGCTCAGCAGAGAGTAGTAATGGCTCAGCTTCAACCTCACCTACAGCTTTATGACCTCGACAGGATCCCATAGATGTAAATGCTGAGGTACTGGATGATGGGAAATGGGGTGATACCTAGACCAGAGGTGTGGAAAGGACAAGAAACCTAGAGGTGTGGCAATAGTAGTTTGTCAGTGAGTTGGCATATCACAAATTCAGGGAGTGGTGGCCTCAAAAGTCACTTATACATGAGCGTCAGTTCATAAAGCGGGATCTTCTACCCCATAACCCCAATGTGAAGCAGCACTTCAATGAAAGAGTGGGCTAGGAATACTTCACTAGCAATGTGCTGGATGCTAATGAGCACCTAGTCAAGGATTTCTATGCCAATGCCTCCCACATCAAAAAGGGCACATTTGTGACTAAGGTGCGGAACCTGAAGGTCAAATTTGACAGAAAGACTCTGAATGAGTATCTTGGTTTCAATGATGAAAATGAGTCGCTGTACTTAGAGAAGGTGGCAATGAATGAAGCAACTCGCCCGTGGTTGGCATCACTACTTGCCCTCCCAGATACTACTCCAGCATGGTTGGCAGCAGGGGTTCATATCTTGAGGAACACCCTGAACTTTGAGGCAAAGGGTTGAGAGACCTTTGTATGCAACAAACTAGACCCCACAACTCAAGATAGTGACATGTCGATTTCCCAGGCGATTGTAGTGGCGGCTATCATGGTGGGGTTCCCGATCAATGTCGGTAATATCATGTCTAGGGTGATCACTAGAGTAGTCAACAAGGGTGATAGATATTACCCCTTCCTGAACTTCCTCACCATGTACTTGGAGGATTAGGAGGTGGAGGAAAGAGATTTCGATATCATGGTAAAGCCCAAGAAACCCTTCTCACGGTATATCCTTCAGGGTCCAGGCAACCCCAAATCCAAAGGATCCAAGGGCAAAGTTACTACTTCTACTGGCCAGTCTGAAGAGCCAGAAGTGGTAGTCACTACTTCATAGCTTCCCACTACCATACCGGATCCTGCCTTCGGACCATCTACTTTCATGTCGTCTGCAGTACCATCATCATCAACATACCCTTTGACTAATCATAGGTTGAACCAAACACTCTCCAGCATCAACAACTGGATACATGCAGCAACTTCTAAGCTATCTGTGCTATCTAGTTCAGTGACAACCCAGTCAGTTCCCACACAGCCCCAGGTACCAGCTTCAGTGGAGGAGTCTCTCAAGGAGCTTCTGGACAACCAGAAGAAGCTCCTGGAGAACCAAAAGCTTATCATGGATGCTTTTGCAGTTCAAGGAAAAACACTTAAGGAGCTGAGCAAGCAGACAAAGAAGCTGAAAAAGACTTGGGCCTCGAAGGAGTCGGTGAAACAATTAAGGGGAGAGGTGGAGAAGATGAAGTCAGCTGACCACTTACCATTGGAGCTACTATTACAGAACCAGCTTCCAGCAGCTCAGACAGAGCAGGTTCAGGAGCAGGAGACTGAGAGAGAGCCCAAGAGGAAGAGAGTGATGCCTCGGGTTGATGATGTAGAGATTGAGTTGGAGAAGATCAAAAAGAAGAGTAGAGAGTAAAGAAAACTCCCTATGGGTCCTCTGTCTGCATGGGGTCCTATGGCTAGGTCCCTGGATCACCTGGCTGGCCTAAGGCACCTCCCTCAGGATCCAATTTTTGGTTATTTAGCACTAAGGACAATGCTAGTTTTTATTTGAGGGGGTGGTCCTACTTTGATGATTTGATAGTTGGTTTGTAATGATGATAATACTTTTCTTTATGCTTATTTTTCACTTTTGGTATATATATAACTTTACCATTTATTTTCTTACTTTTCGTTATTTTTCAATTTTTGAATGTATATAAAGTTACTTTTCCATGTATATATTCATTCCCTCTTATGTATATTCGTCTCAATCCCCTATTGTATATATTTAGTTTACTTTCCATATTTTACTTCATAACTTCTTTTGCAAGTTTCCTTAATAGCATAGCTTTTTGTTTCATTTAGTAGCTTCTTTTTCGGTTTGTAGCTTCTTATTTTACAAGTTTTTGTGATCAATAAGCCTTTGGTTTTCTTAATGCCATGGTTCTTCCAAAGGTGTAGTTTGTGTGAACCGGGTGGCTCTTCCCGATGATGGATGGCATGACAACCTTCTTAAGGGTTTGAATCTGTTTTCTTTTCGTTTTTGAGTAAATAGTAGCTAGTGAAAAATAGTGCCTCAGGCAAACCTTTGACCTTATGGTTAAAAAAGAATTGGTGTGTATAGAATGGTGATAGTTGTGACCTTGAGACTCTTGTGTTGACTAAACAATCATTGAGTGGTTTCTCGGAACCATTTGTGTTGATCAAATCTTAGCTAAGGTTTTTGTGGGCCCCGACTCTATCTCTTTAGCAATCCTATAGCTTGTGTGGTGAGGTATTGATTTGCGAGTCCAAATCCCACACCAATAAGTCTAGAACTTGCCCTGAATATTTGTCTAGGCAAAATCCTAAGTGTATCTCGACTTGAGAAGTGATTATAGGCTTTCCTTGATCCAAATTGAGGCTTGAAAACATCCATATCCCACCAAGAATGACATCCCTAGTCAACCCCGTTGAGCCATAGCCCTTATTCTTTCAATAACCATGATACAAGATTTTATCCATTCTAAAATGATCCTCTATTGCCACTCGATCTTTCCTTAGCACAAGGCAAAAGCATAAGTTTGGGGGGAGAGACGAGGAATGCAAAAGTGATAAAAGGTACAAAATGAAGAAAAGGAAGGCAAAAAGAAAAAGAAAGAAAAAGCCAAAAAGCCAAAAAGAAAGTGAACAATGTAGAAGAAATGAAGGGATTCATTAAAAGCAAAAGATGAAAGGCTTGGAAAGATTAGAAAGGAGAAAGAGGATTGAAATGAACAAGAAAGAGTGACAGTGTATCTCTCTATCCCCTAAAGAAGAAGTAAATGACTCAAAGAGTCAAGAAAATGTGAGCCAAAATGAAGCAAATGAAGTGCTTAAGGAAAGATGAAACCTTCATAGACCAATATTTCCTACCCTGAAACAAAAGCCTTCATTACATTCCCACAAAAACCCTATATGATCTAGAGTTGAGTGAGCTTACATTAGTGGTGACTCACATAAGGGGCAAGTTTATGGTACTTAGAGCCGGACTTGTGACCTTCCTTTGAGAGAGATGAGTATGTTTTCCACAATCCTCGTTCTGAGTACTACAATCTAACAGTGAGGTTTGCATATGGAGAATCTAGGAGTATGAGTTTGGGTTCCACAATGACCAATGTTATAGAAAGAGTTTCCTTGATGAGTTGATTCAACTCTTGACCGTTCTTGCCATTCTATAATAGTATAGGGTTGGCTCCGATCAGTTTCTCATCAACCCAAGACGGAAGAGGCCCGATACTCAGCCTCATAGTACCAGGAACATCGATTGGAGCTCGAAAGGGAGAATTGACATTCTCCACTAGGTCATACTCTCCCTAGAGCGCTTGGGCGTCGTCCTCGGTTGGTGTTATAAGCTCTCAAGATTGAGCATTCTATTGAGCTGATGAAGGTCGTTGCCTCCTCTATAAGGAAGCCCCTTCATCACTGGCTTCCCCATCATCATTAATCACTTTAGTGACTGCGGCTGGCTCGGGTGCAACGCTCTTCACCTTTTTTATTTTTGCTCTCGGCCGAGGAAGAGTGCCACCTTTTTGGTTGCTTGTTCTCTGGCCAGGGACTCCGAGAGGAAGCACTTGCATCAAAAGAGGATCTGATGGAGCCTATTCGGGTGAAGGCCTCCTTCAGTAACCTCGCAGCCTCTGCAGGATCAGCCAGAACATCCTCATCGGGGATGGTAAAAGAGCCCTGCGGAAGACCTGAATTCAACGAAAAAAAGAAGTTAACCAATTTTCTTACACAAAAAATGAGATGAGGATAAAATCAATCTCACGAGTCAACTTATTGTGATTTTTGGTCTTCCACCCGTATTTTAGGGCCTGTTCTTTCCACCGGTAGGTCTCAGGCGTGGTAATATCTAGAATATTCTGAACCCACTGGTCCAAGCCTTCAACCCTTGGTGATGTCCACCGAGTTGTTGAAATAATAAAAAGAGAAGGATAAGTAACAACACGAAATAACCTTTTTTCAAAGAAAAGATAGAGTTTGAACTTATGTGTATGAGTCCAAGACTCAGGGAAAGATGGAGTTATGGCTGGGATGATATCCCTGGTGGCAACAATAATGAACCGCTCCATCAATCCATGGTCTTTGTCGTCATCCATGTTGCTGAGCAAAGCATGGTGGTCACATTTGATAAAATTTATTACTCCCCCACGGAAAATCTTGGGGGAGTAGAGGTTCCTCATGCGAGCCAAGGTGAGCTCTTCATTCATCTCCTAGCATAGCTGCCGTAGATAGGTTATCGTTTGCGAGACCGAAGGGCCCACCTGTACCAAAACAATTTGGTATTTGTGGCATAGCTCCAAAATCATGGGGTCAATTCCCCCGCTCAAAGAAAACGCACCCAAAGTAAATGGGTACGTATAGACGTACATAAAACCTTTCTTCGGAAAGGTTACTTGCTTCACCAGTTCGGGAGCGATGATGTTCAGATCATGGCAATCATAATCCTCCTCCACGGCAGGAATGCAAGAAGGATGGATGGAAGAAGGGTATCCACCAACAGCCCATGTACGAGAGCTTGTAGAAGAAAACTTCTCTTCGAAATCCTTGGTTGTTTTAAGTCTTCTGGGAATGTGGTACTTACCGTAGGAGGGGCAACATCATCGGTGTTTTCTTTATTTTTAAGAGAACCTGAATTCTTGGAGAAGGAAGTCATGGTTAGTAGAAGGAAATAAGAGTTCTTTGAAGAAGAAGAGTGAAAGAAAGAAAGAGGTGAATGCAAAGAAGTTTAGAGAGTTTGAAGAACTGTGAAGCGTAAAAGAAGAAGAATAAGGCGTATAAGTAAAGAAATAGGCGACTAAAATCGTGACCATGATTAACTAGAGACCAGTTAAAATATTGCAAAATCGTGGAGTGACGAGTGTTCGGGGCATCAAATGCGGAGAGACGTGCATCTAATCGAGTGTCAGAAACTTTTCAAAAGGGATCAAAAAATTTCCCGCCAAGAGAGGTATCTTCACCAACTTCCCAATGACACAAAGATGTGCCACCGGAAAGTAGGGGGACTATCTGTTTAGGGTAAAATTGGTTCATATTAAATACTCGAATAATAGGGCGACACGTGGAGCCAGAGACAGACAAAAAACGAGGCAAGTGGAAACCAAGACCATGGACAGTAGCTTCGGTTGACACTGGGTAGACTCCGAAAGGAATATTGCTAATGAGGACAAATGAATATTTGTCACCCGATGACATTCAGTGAAGAATATTTCTCAATATTAAATACACAATCCGTTACAAAGAATCTTGTCATTCATAGCCTGCCATTACACCTTCATCAATGGCCCCCATAATTGTCATTTAAGAGGGGCTTGATCATAGGACCTTGTTCCCTAGGTATAGCTATAAATAGTGAGTTCAACAGCCATTGTAAGACACGAAATTTCTGACAAACTTATGCTACATATTATTCTAAGCTCAATAATACTTTATTTTCTGTCTATTAATATTCTTATTGTTGTCTACAGAAGCCTTGATCCGGGAACCAAGCTGTTTGTTGTCTTATCTCAATTTCAACGCTAAGTCTTGCATTTTATTTAATTTATTTATTATTTTGGGATTAAATTGATTCGCTTGTCTATAAACCATATTATAAAATTTAGCCATACTGTTTTACGGGTAAACAACAGGTTCAGATGACCCACTTGGCCCCACGTTGGTCTGTCCCTGGAAACAAATAAGAGAAAATAACAAAAGATTATTGCATGGTTAAAAAATGGCATCAAATGCATAAACCCTGTTATTATAAGATGGATCTCCTATAGCCTATTTGGCCAAGCTTCTAAAATCAACTTATTTTGAAAAGTGCGTTTTAAAAAAAGTACTTTTGGTGAGAAGCAGTTTGTGTTTGGATAATTAATTTGAAAAACACTTTTGAACAATAATATATTTTGGCCAAGCTTTTAAAAAGTGCTTTTAAGTGTATTTTTCTCAAAAGTACTTTTGGCTACTTTTTTCTCTTCTAAAAAACTGCTTCTGCTCAAAAGCACTTTTTTTCCTTATAAGAGCTTGGCCAAACACCTTAACTTTAAAAAAAATACTTTGTCATACCTCTTTTTTACTATCCCCGGAGGGGTATAAGGGAGTTTTGTCCAATTTAAGTGACAATCGAAACGAGATTATTTTATTTAAAATTCAGAGTCGTCACTTGGGATAATTTATGGTGTCCTAAGTCACCGATTTAAAATCCCCAATCAAGGAAGATTGAATCTATTTATGGTCTACGAACACAGAGATCCGGGTAAGGATTCTGTTAACCCGGAAGAAGGTGTTAGACATTCCCGAATTTCGTGATTTTAGTACGGTCGCTTAACTATTAATAATTGGCCTAATTATCTGATTAATTACACATTTTAAACCTACGTGCGTTTTTAACTTCCAAATCGCTTTTAGTGTTTATGGAACAAATCATGATTGTCGTACACATTGCAAACCGCGTCACATGAAATACACCCGCGATTTACAACATATTTATTTTATTATTAATATTCGAAGTTATGGTCGGATCATATGAAATGCATACCTGAATTTAGATTTATGGATCGTGACCATGCCATGAGAACCGTACCCATGACCACGATAATTTATTAATCGCGTCTAAAGCAAGCTACAAAGAAAGATACAAAGTAAAACATTAAATCAATGGACGCAGACCCCACCTACCAGAATTAACAATCCACGAAAACACAAAGAAAGATACAAAGTAAAACATTAAATCCATGGACAAATTGCTTATTGAACAAATATCTATGTATACAGCACATCTGAAAAGCCAAAGAACAGTGAGGTGTTCATATTACCTTGAACAGTGAAGCCACTCCGTTTTGCTCCCAACTATATCTCCCACTTTGGATTTTTTTTGCCGCCTAATAACTTTTATATACATGACGATTTATTGAATACAAACATGTAAACTCAATGAGAGAATTCGAACAAACCAAACCAGGCATGGTAAACTCGCCGGCGACCTCGGGTGACAGAGCTTCAACGTGATTAATGGAGAAAATTGAAACTACCTTTGTTGTGCTTTTGGGGTCAGTTTTTGGCTGAAATTTGAGGCTTTTGGGGGCTATTTTCGAGCTGGGTTTGGGAGGTGTTTGTGGTGGCTTTATTGCTGACTTTTGGTGAGCTTTTGGAGCTTCCTTCAATGGTCATTTTGTTGCATTTTTCAGCTGTAAACAATGGTGTTTTGGAGTGATTTTGGAGTTGTTTGATGGAGTTTAAGAGTGGCTTAATGAAGGTTTCATGGTTGCACTTTCATGGCAAAAAAATGGGCTCTTTGGGGTGTTTGAGGGTGGTTTAATGAAGGATTTTAGGAAAAAGATGAAATAGAAAAACGGAGGTGTGGCTTTTTTTCTTCAGATCTGTGTTTTCCCCAATTTTGCTCTATCTCCTCCTATCTGTCTCTCTCTGTTCTTTTTTATCACTGTCTTCTCATCCCCTTTATATTAATTGTGAGCCTAGGTGAGTGCTTGGGGAGAAAAAAAGAATATGAGTGGTCCCCAAAGAATATTTTGTGGTCCTCCCCTACTAAAATCACTGTATTCATGTATGTATGAAATTGTAGTGTGCATGTGATAAGTTTGTTGGAGGAATTATGTATAAGGGTGAGGTGTGAAAAGGTGATTGGAAGATATATATATATATATATATATATATATATATATATATATATATATATATTTCTTCCATATATATATATTTAAAGGAAAATGAAGAAGATAATAGACTACGTCCACTATTTCATTTCTTGTTTCGATTCTGCTTTTGCCGTTCTTTTGATTTCATTCTTCTCATTTTTTTTACTTTTTTTTGGTTATTTTTTGTTTTCTTGATAAAACAAAAGCTGAAAAATACTAATATATATAATCCTAAAAGTGTAGAATCCTTTTAATTTAAAAAAATAAAAAATAAAGTAGGAACTACAAGAGAGGAAAACAACGTGTAGTACAAGTATTAAATATCACTAAATCAAAGTTATGACTAATAAAATGAAAACTTAATACTCTAAAATCATGTGACTATTTTTTGTCAATTTTTTAATTTTACCCAAAGTAAGATACACTAAAAATTGCTAGAGAAATACTAAATAGCTAAAGTAAAAAAAAATATTTTTTGTAGTTTTCATTTTAAGAGAAAATAAAGCAAAAAGGTCAAAAATAGGCAAAATAACAATATTAGAGCTAAAAAAAATATTTAAGTACTAAAAGGTGTAAAAATCTCGGGGAGGATCAAAAATTACATGTCTACAGCTGCCCCTCTTTGATTGGAAACACGAAGTATTTTCAGACAAAGAACGACGAGATAGGTTTTTTAACCCGACCCTTATTTAGAGAGACCAAAAACTAAAAAAAAGAGAATGTGGTCGAGCCCTAGTATCTGAGCTGCCTACATATCCTTCGCTATAAAGAAATCAGGCCACGTGTAGTTCAAAAGTGAATAAGCTGATGGAGTATACTGAGGTGGAGAGGATCGAGGTGCCGTTCTGTCGAGGTTCCGGTCCGCGATCCTATTATTACATCAAAATCAAAAAATGAAAAAGACTAACTACGCCTGTCAACTATGAGTTACAAAATTCCTATCTATAAGTCTTCTGAAACTTGATCTTGAGTCTTGAATGGTTCTTCATGCAGACTTTAGATTTGAACCTTGGTGCTTGTTAGTTGTAGGTGCTAGTTCATTCTTCTTCAGCTTTTCGGATCAAAACCGGACACACCATGCTTGTGACTTCAGTCATGTCTTGAGTAGCTCCCATCTTTCATCAACTTCTGCATTTGGATTCACTTCTTGCCTTTTTTTTTTAATTCTGGATTGTGACTAACTTTTGTTGATCATCTCGGACCGTTGACTTGTATTCTTGCCGCGAGCTTCTTTTGTTGCTGACTTGAATTGCATTCTGAAGTGAATTCCCTTGTTTTCCAGGTGGGTGCCTGATTGCCAAAACTTGAACTGTCTTCCTTTGAAACTTGAACTTCTTTCCCTTGAAACTCGAACTGTTTTCCCTTGAAACTTGAACTGTCTTCCTTCTAAATTGCTTTCCCTTGAAACTTGAGCCGTCTTCCCTTGTTTTCCAGGTGGGCCCCTGATTGCTGAACTTGACCGTCTTTTTTCGAAACTTGAACTGCTTTCCCTTGAAACTTGAATTATCTTCCCTTATTCTCCAGGTGGGTGTCTGATTGCTGAACTTGACTCGTCTTCCTTCGTAACTGCTTTCCGTTGAAACTTGAGATAATTCTAAAACAAACTCCTTTGTTTTCCAGGTGGGTGCCTGCAATCAAACAACAAAACAAACAAAATTTTCTGCCCCAGTTTGCACTTGGAAGATTTGTGAGTTATTAGCAAAACTATAAACCACTTATGCTATTGATGCAATGATGAAAGTAAACTAGAGACTCGACTAGGATGCGTATCTCCTGTGAGTAAGACCAAGAAACTTTGACCAACAAATGAGTCCGCTAAAAATAAAACCTGAAAGACCTAGATCAGGAAGTGCGTCTCCTACGAGTGAAACTTGAATGAACCAAACTAGGAAGTGCGTCTCCTAAGGCTGAAACTTGAATGAACCAAACTAGAAAGTGCGTCTCCTAGAGGTAAAACTTGCATGACTCACACTAGGAAATGCATCTCCTAGGGGTAAAACTTGCATGACTCACACTAGGAAATGCATCTCCTAGGGGTAAAACTTGCATGACTCACACTAGGAAGTGCATCTCCTAGGGGTAAAACTTGCATGACTCACACTAGCAAGTGCATCTCCTAGGGGTAAAACTTGCATGACTCACACTAGCAAGTGCATCTCCTAGGGGTAAAATCTCAATTTAGGAAATGCGTCTCCCAAAAGTATATCCAGAAAAACCTAGACTAGGAAGTGCGTCTCCTAGGGGTGAAATCTCAATATAGGAAGTGCGTCTCCTGAAAGTGTATCCTGAAAGATCCAGACTAGGAAGTGCGTCTCCTAGGGGTGAAACTTTAATGACTCAAACTAGGAAGTGCGTTTCCTAGGAGTAAAATCTCAATGTAGGAAGTGCATCTCCTAAAACAAATATATAACCTGAAATACCTAGACTAGGAAGTGCGTCTCCTAAGGGTGAAACTTCAATGACTCCAAACTAGGAAGTGTGTCTCCTAGGAATGAACTATCCATTTAGGAAGTGCGTCTCCTAAAGAAAAAATATAACCTAAAAGACCCAGACTAGGAAGTGCGTCTCCTAGGGGTGAAACTTCAATGACTCAAGCTAGGAAGTGTGTCTCCTATGAATGAACTTAAATGACCCAAACTAGGAAGTATGTCTCCTAGGAGTAAAATCTTAATTTAGAAAGTGCGTCTCCTAAAATAAAATATAACTTGAAAGACCCAGACTAGGAAGTACATCTCCTAAGGGTAAAATCTCAATATAGGAAGTGCGTCTCCTAAAATAAAATATAACTTGAAAGACCCAGACTAGGAAGTACATCTCCTAAGGGTAAAATCTCAATATAGGAAGTGCGTCTCCTAAAATAAAATATAACTTGAAAGACCCAGACTAGGAAGTGTGTCTCCTAGGGGTGAAACTTCAAATGAACCAAATAGGAAGTGTGTCTCCTAGTGGTAAAATCTCAATTTAGGAAGTGTGTCTCCTAAAACAAAAATATAACTTGAAAGACCCTGACTAGAAACTGCGTCTCCTAATGGGTGAAACTTAAATGATTCAAACCAGGAAGTGCGTCTCCTAGGGGAAAAACTCAATGTAGGAAGTGTGTCTCCTAAAACAAAACATAACTTGAAAGACCTAGGCTAGGAAGTGCGTCTCCTAGGGGTGATGTGTGATCTTCTCAATAGCCTTTGCGTAAGCAGAACTGGGCCATTACACCTGAAAAATTCAAGCTTCCAAGCTTTGATATGAATATAGCTTTCATCCATGTTTCAAACAAAGAAAACTTGTGAATTTAAATATGGTGGTTGGTTTGTGGCCTTGACTTTGAGGGTGATTGCTCTTTCACTTGCCATGATAACTTTGATTTCAACTTGAAAGACATTGCTTGTTTATTGACAAACCACTTTCTATGTCACCCTTATCACAGCCAATACCTCTAATTCATTCAAACTCAATACCTTCTATCTATTGCATTTTGCTCATGAATCGCAAAACACGTTGATTGTTGCCAACTCAGTGCGCCTACTACTCTTTCCTGACTTATGTCGCTTTGATGTGCTAGCTAGACTCCATTTGTGCAATTAGAATGGTGGTAATAAATTTTGAAGTCATTTCTCACTTGTTCTGACCAAACAGACTCAGGAAGAGGAAGTAAACAAGACAAAAGGAACAGAGTAAATGACAATGAAAAGAGATGATTCCTAACAAGAAAAGTATAAAGTAGAAACTTATCAGATGTGGATACCAACTCTAATGACCATGACATGCACATTTGGATTAAGTGGCCTAATCTGTCAAGCAAGTCTGATGTTCAACTTTTATTGTACCCCTAAACCGTGAAACTGGGCTTCAATGCTCCAATTTTCCAATCCGATTTACGATCCTTATTTGACTTGTAGTGTCCGAAGGGATTTCACCATCAAGCCTTTCTCATTTTGTTCTTTCTCTCAACTGACTATCACCTTATGGTGCCTGTGAAGGTTTTCCCGATAAGACTCCCTCATTTTCTTTTCCTTGTGTAGAACGGAGTGTTTCCCCTGATGTGAATCATACCTATAACTCGCTTGCCTTGGCACTACTCAAAGATTGATCGGGAGGTCTTTCTTTGGACCGTACTTTAGGTTTTTGGATAGGATTAGAAAGAAAGCGTATCATAAAGGTTCAAAAACAGCTTAAAAAGGGTCAAAATTACAACTTTTGGAATCAGATCTCTTACAACAACCACAACTTCTGCCCTAGTTTCTTTGCTTGGGGGACTTTTGAATTTTTATTTTGATGGGACCAAACCATGAGGCTGCCTACGTATCCTTAAAAGGAATCAGGTCGAATGTAGTTCAAGACATAGGAATTGCTTTGTTTTTGTACTTTTCTCTCTCTCTTTTTCTTTTTGTTTTTTTTTCTTTTCTTTTCTTTTCTTTACTCTGTTCCCATTTTTTCTCTCTATTTTCTCTTCTCTTTTCCTCTTTTCTCTTTTTTTTTTATTCTGTATCTGTATTTCTAAACTCTGCTTCTGATTCCAAAAGAGGGATATGAAAGAAAATAAATAAGGCTCAAAGGGTGCAAAGGATAAAGTATTTAGATAGCAGAATAAAATGTCTTCGTCATTCCAATCTTCAAAGTATGCCAAATACAAACAACACAATTGAACAAACCAAAAAAATCATACGTATTATGTTTTGACTGCATCAGAATTGATAACCATATCCACACATTTGCCTTCTACATCTGTTAAATACAAAGCACTATTGGACAACACTCTCGTTACCATGAATGACCCCTGCCAATTTGGGGCAAACTTGCCTTTAGCTTCAACCTGATGCGGCAGGATGCGTTTCAATAGTGTTTCTTTATGTTCTATCTACCCCAGTTTCACACAATTTGGGCTTGAAGTGATCTCAAAACGCCTTTACTTATTTCTCTCAAATGTCCCTATCATCTTCAAAATTATTTCATTGCTTCATGACTAAACTAACTTTTAAG